CGTATTAGACCACTGCTGTGGGTATTTGCCGTATTGTGATTTAAATATGAAAATGAGCTGTGACACTTTCTGTAAAACGGACAAAGGTTGGTGCTTTGAGAGCAAAGCTTCTGGTTGGTTCATAGTGGAACTCTGATTTCTTCAATCTGCAGGCAGTGGAAGAAATACAAGGTTTCAAAAAAAAGTTATCAGTGGCTGTGTGGAAGTGCAAAAGATGAGAATAGGCAAAGAATGCCAAACTGATTGGGAGGCTGATGAGAACATGAATTCAAGACCCAGGAGGATATTGCAGACCTGTCATGTAGTATATGCTGCCAGTGTAATAATGCTGGGTTATGCTTTGGTTTTAATTTTTTATTTTCATGCCTTTTATAGATTATTTTATAATTTTGGAGCTGTAATGTGACTAATCCTTACTGCTCTGAAAATAGCAGTTCAGTTACAGTCAATATGCAGCAATGCACAGGAGTAAATGTGTCTGGGGGAGAAAAGAAGTTGTTAACTATGTGAAGGCGAGGGTCCCTTATAATATATTGCTTTACCATTCTCATAGTGCTTTGCCATGTTTTGCATGTCACTAATACAAATTCTTCTCTGGCAAACATGCAATTATTTTCATTACCATGCATTGAAAATGGTTTATCTGAGAATAACTGCTGTGGCATAGAGCAGGAGCACAAGGAGTTGATGTAAAACCTTTGCTCTTCAGTGCAAGTAGGAGATGCAGTAAGCCTGTTTGAGTACTCATAATCCAGTGCCCCTTCTCTCTTAATGTTGACCTCTATTCCTGTAGCTGCATTTGATTTCTGTCAGGCTTTTCATGACCCCATGTGGCAGCACAGTCCCAAATTAATAAGGATCTGTGTTGACAGCTGCTTCAAAAGCTTCTGGCCTCTTTCAGGGAATTTTTTTTTCCCTTTGTGCTCAGGATGTAGGATGCAGGCGCCCCAGTATTTCTTCTGGTGTTTCCTTTCCTGTGCAGTTCTGGCCCCTGGTGCTTGGCAAATCAGTGGGTTTTGCTTTCTTTTGCAAATTAACTGCTGCAAGGATGGGGTTTTTTTGTTTACTGTTGATGTGTGGCTACTGAATGATGGAAAAAAAAATGTCTTCTGTTGTGCTCTACCACTGGAGGCTGTGTCTAGGTCTCTTCTTGAATCTGACTTGTACATTAAAAATGGTGTTGGAACTGTGCCTCACGGTGTACCTGTTGCTTTCTATTCATCATTATTAATTACTCGATCCTTATTTCTTTGATAAACTCTAGCTGGGTTTCTGTACTTTGTGCTTTTGTTGTTGCAGTACTGTCTAAGTTTCACCATTGTGGTGCTTCCACAAATTACTTTTGAGAATTTGCACGCCATCTGTGCAATAATAAAGCTTTTAGCAACTCCAGATTGCTGTGCTCGTGGTAGGGAGTGTGGATGAAAGCCAGCCCAGTGAATTAAGGTCATGTCCCTACTGGGGGCAGAAAGCAAACTCTAGGTAAAATGATCTAGGCAATCCCTTTGAGGGGCATCTGTTCCTGGTAGGACTTTGGCAATCATGGTTATGGCTGTTAATCTTTAGGCCTCCAGCCACTGAAAGGTAGAAGAGACATGGGGACTCGCTCCGGGTATTAATGGACACCTGCAGGAAAAATAATTCGTGTTTTTGACAGTCATAGGTGGATGGAAAGTATTGTTGAGCAGAAAACTTGCAAAGCAAGACACATGGGTTAAAAAAAAAAAAAAAAAAAGAAAAAAAAGCAAACCAAACAACCAAACATGATACAAAGCAAAATAGACAATAGCCACTTTTCAGAGAAGGTTTTTAAAAAGGATTAATACAACTACTGGATCTCTCAGATCAGTGTCAATCTCTCAATGGAGAAGTACTTGATAATACCAAAATTTTAAGAACCTGACATTTACAATATTGAGGAGAAAATAAAAGCTTCTGGATATAAGTCTGTGTGGGAGGAAAAAATGTAGAAGGGAAAAAACTGTGAACTGTTTTACCAGATAAATACATTACATTAAGAAAATTACGACATGAGAGGGACATCTTGTGGCACAAATAAAGTAATAAAAAAAAATTCAGTGGTAGGAGAATTATCCTGGAATGTTACCTTGGGGTCACCATTTCTGGTAGAAATTCTAGGCCTGGTAAGAGATTAAGTTGTTCCATTTTTCCTTATAGCAGGAATCTTGCTACCCACTTTCTTCCCACTTTTTTGTCTCCATGAGCGGAGGATTGCAGTACACAGAAGTTCTACCAAATATACTCGTCTGTCTTGGTGCAAATGATACTAGTTTTTAATGAAGGAATAGATTAAAATGTCACTACCGTTATTTGACTGAATGTGTTGCTTCATCAGTGGCATAAAATGTAACTGCTTTAGCTGTGGGTGGTTAACACTTATTTTCCACTTGTATCACAATCACATTTCCATATGCTCATATAAATTAAGAAGAATGCATTTAATTTTCAGGAGTACAAAGGGCCACGACTGTGTATGATCAACTGAAATTAAACCTAACATACATCTGTGAATCACGCTATAAGAAGCGTGACGTAGCCTTGCTGTCAGTGTTCCTGAACCTCTAGATCCCATGCTTGATTAGTTTTGATCACGTGGTGATAAAACTTTAATTATCTTTCACAAGCAGTAGTTTTCCCAAGAGTTCTCATTGTAACGTTGAATGATTTCTTGAATACTTTTTAATAGTTTTAGATGAGGTTGTATTGTACCACTGTACAGAGTGGGGAAGGTCTCTACAACACGAGTGTTACCAGTCTCTCGCAAACCTCAACCACCTGAACCACACGTGTTAATGGTTTTTACAAGTGCTGCTTCTTGGGAGGCTGGCCGTGCGCTTGGCCAGAGAGCTGGCGTAGCAGGCGGGTTAGCTCCGGCCCAGTTGCCTCCCAGTTGCAATTTATACCCTTTGTTGGCCACTCCGGTCTGGCTTCTGGGGCAGGGGTGCCTGAGAGAATTAACTGGAGGTATTGTTGGTTTGGGCTTGGGTGTTTTAAGCAAGCAGCAGTAAGTTGGCATGAACTTCGAATAGAGTTATTACGCTCAGCTTTGGAGAAACAATAGAAAAGTCAGTTAAAGGAAAAGCAGATCTTTCTTCGACAGAAATACCTGTCAGCTGTATAGGAGTTAAGCTTGAATGTGTAATAAAAACCTAAATGCTGAAGAGTTTTTGATTTGGCATTGCATCTTTTGTTTTGAAATTTCAGCAACCAGATGTTATTCTGGTCAGTCTCACAGTTTACAATGCTGCCTTATTTTTATATATCTGAGATATATTTAAAGTTCAATGTATGTTGTTTTTTTAAGGATGTTTATAATGTGTCTATTCATGCCTAAGGATCCAGAAATACTATTTGAATCAATTGGTATGTAAATAATTCTGTGCTTTGGAAAGATAGGAGATCATTTCTCCAGCAGTAATTCAATCGTAGCTTGTTTTTTGTATAACCACAATACCCTTGCCTAAATTTAATTCAAAGTTTATGTTTCCTAGCTACAGTTCTAGTACTTCAGTTGCCATGAGTAGAAACGCCGTAAATTATAACAAAAATGAAGGACAATAGTAAAGGGATCTTTTTTGGGGGTAAAGATAAGGTGGAAAAAACCAAGTTTTTGTTTTCAGGCTTTTGCACAAGACTAACTAAAAATCTGCCAAGTCATGCTGTTGTCCAGCAGAGATTTTCTGACCAATACAAGTTGTATCATAAAATGTTTTTCTGCTTACAGGTCAGCTAAAATCCCGAGCGTTGCAGTGTGATTGCTTTGAGATCCAACTTTGGCTGCAATCCATTTCCCATTAAATACTCCGCAGAATGACAAACGCTTAGCTCAGGTTAACCGAAACCTTGGCTGTGTTGGTATCGGTTGAATTCAGTGTGTGGACGTAGGCTCAGAAGGATGCCAGCTGCATGATTTCATTTTTGACAACAGGACCTTAACTGCTCACACCAGTCTCTTACTGGTTTGATCAGTTCAAAGACCAATTCCTGTAGCGATGGGCCTGTCCTAAGCTGTGGCGGTGGAGCAGTCAGGTATCCGGGTCAGAGAACGAGCTTCCACATACCACAGAAAGGTGCTTGCCAGCACGTCGAGCGAGTAGAACACTCTTGACAAACAACTGACAAGATACCGGTGTCCTGCTATGCCATCTTCGCCTTGTACACATGTTTTTTTTCTGGTTAAATACGTGTGATGGTGTGAGCGTATGGGGTGGGTACCAGTTTAAGGGCTGTGTTGCGAACCTCCTGCGCGTTTGCTCTCTGGAATGCCATCGGGTTTTCTAGTTTGTCTGGTTGGTGTGGGTTGTCTCGGGAGCTGTCGGGGATAGCGATGCCTTTGCGTTTTACATAGAGGTATGCAGGAGGTGCTTACCTACCCGGAGCAACATCTGGATTAATGGTGGGACGCAGTTCCCAGCTTTGCCCTTGGTCTCAGGTGTCTCCTAAGCAACACAAACCACCTCCTAGGAAAGACGTTTATTCCAGAATAAGTATTTCCCCAAAAGGGCTTGGATGGAAAAGCCTTAAGTTATGACTAACCGTTTGAATTCACATCCTTGCTTGGACGGTTGTCATTTGCCGTGCGGAGAGGAGGAGCAGGGTGTGCGGTGGGTGTCTGTCTGTCTGTCTGTCGGCAGGACCAGGGCGTGGGTGTGCGTCTGTCTGCAGGACCCGGGGTGTCAAGGGGAGAACCCGCCGCCGGGACCCGCTTGTTCTCCCGGAGCCTGCGGGGTCGCGCCGGGTGAGAGGCACCTACGGGGCCACCGACCACTCGTGAAATCGCCTTGCCGAGTGGAAACCCGCCTTGCCGAGGCTGCGGCCGGCGCTGCCGGGTTCCCCTGTCCCAACCCCCCCCCCGGTTTACCACCGGCGGGCCGGGGCCGGGGGAGCCGCTCGGGGCGGGGGGGGGGGGGTCTGCAGCCCCGCTCCCCGCCGGCGCCGCGCCCTCCCCCGCGCTCCTGCCCGCCTCCCTCCCCTTCCTCCCCGCCGTCCCCTCCCCCCGGCTCCGCATCGCCGCGGCCGGAGCACACGCCGCCCGTTGCCGGCGCTCGGCCGAGGATGCTCCGGGCTTATTGTTCCCCTGCGGCGGCAGGTAGGAGCCCGGGCGGCGGGGCAGGGCCGCGGGCCGGGCCGGGGCGGGGGGGGGGGGCGGCGGGGGCCGGAGCGACGCGGGCCGGGAGAGGCGGCGAACAAAAGCGGCGTGCAAAATGGAGCCAGGAGAGAGAAGGGCTGGACCCCACGGCGCATCCCTCCGCCTGGATGGTCGGCGGCGGGAATGGCGGGGTGGCTGCTTGGTCCCGGAGAAGCCTCCCCCCCGCGCTGCCCTCCGGCCGGAGCCGCCCGGGGGTGCGGGGAAGGGGGTGCGGGGGTGCGGGGGGGGGGGGAGGCGCAGCCGGAGCCCGGCCGGGAGCGGGGGCAGGCGGCGGCGGGGAAGCGCCGTAGCAGGGCGTGGGGATGGATGGAGGTGGCGGGCAGCGCGGGGGGAGAGGCGGTTCTGTAAAACACTTTCCCCTTCTCTTCTGTCAGCCTTCGGGAGGACGCTCGTCCTGACGCGGTGAAGGTTCCTTCTCCCTCTTCCCCCCAACCCCTCGTCCCTCCTCGGCGAGGCAGCCCACCCAGGAGGGCTTTAATAACAGCCCTCTCCCGTGTGAGTGTGTGAAGTTGCTGACATGCCTGCTGCTGGGTCCCGGTGCACCAGTAGCGGTGGGGAGCCGGATTTAAAGGGGAATTGTGCTGCAGACAATGCACAGCAGCAGCATCTGGAGCAGCCCTGGGGACTGGAGCTCCGGTTTTGACATTGCTACACACACAGCACCAGCCGCAATGACAGCAGCTGCCTGGAGTGGCTGCAGGCAGCAGGCAGGAGCATGAAGTAAAGAGATCACTGCAGTGCTCAAGATGAACTCCTCTTTGGTTGGCAACCAGAGTGGCCGGCCGTTCTGTCTCCTGGCCATTAGCTATCTGGAGACCATCAATTTTTGCCTCCTGGAAGTGGTTATTATTGTGTTCCTCATGGTGCTGATTATTTCGGGCAACATAATCGTGATATTTGTCTTTCACTGTGCACCTCTGCTGAACCATCACACCACCAGCTACTTCATCCAGACTATGGCGTATGCTGACCTTCTGGTGGGTGTGAGCTGTCTGGTGCCTTCTTTGTCTCTGCTGCACTACCCTATTGTTTTAAGTGAGTCCTTGGTTTGCCAAATCTTCGGTTATGTGGTGTCGGTGCTGAAGAGCGTCTCCATGGCCTCTTTGGCATGCATTAGTATTGACAGATACATTGCCATCACAAAGCCGCTGACCTACAACACGCTCGTTACCCCGTGGAGACTTCGAATCTGCATCCTGATCATTTGGCTGTACTCCTGCCTGGTCTTCTTACCCTCCTTTTACTGGGGAAAGCCTGGATATCACGGGGATGTGTTTCAGTGGTGTGCCAGTTCCTGGAACACCGATCCCTATTTTACCCTCTTCATTGTGGTGATGCTCTATGCCCCGGCTGCTTTCATCGTCTGCTTCACTTACTTCAACATCTTCCGCATCTGCCAGCAGCACACCAAGGAGATCAACGAGAGGCGAGTGCGCTTCAGCTCTCAGGATGGGGAGGCTGGGGAGGCACAGCCCTGCCCGGACAAGCGCTATGCCATGGTCCTTTTCCGCATCACCAGTGTCTTCTACATCCTCTGGTTGCCCTACATAATCTATTTTCTGCTGGAGAGCTCCAATGTCTATAGTAACCGCGTTGCGTCCTTCTTGACCACTTGGCTTGCCATTAGCAACAGTTTTTGCAACTGTGTCATTTACAGTCTCTCCAACAGTGTCTTTCAGAAGGGGCTGAAACGTCTCTCGGGGGCTATTTGTGCCTCTTGCGCTAGACAGAGGGTAGCTAAGGACTCCTCTACCTCTAGGAGCAAAAGATCTTCCAATGGATGTCATGTCTAAGACGCCTATCAGCTGGACTGGGAAGTGCAGGGACAATTCCGTAAATTGCAAAATAAGTTAAATATGATTTTAAGATGTCCAGATTTGCAAAAAGGTTTCTGATAAATGCTGCTGACATAGAAGAATCAGGAGCACATCTCATTGTGATTTCACTTTAAAAAATTATTGCTGTGGAGGAGGCTGTGGAGTTTCACCTCCATATTCATTTTTAAGAATAAAGCTGTATCTTGACACTTACCTCTCCAGCTGGTGTGACTGAATGGAGTGGGTGTCTGAGAGCTTCGGCAAAATGTAGTCTTTCTTACAGCTTTACTAGGTTCTTTCGAGATTCGTGCTTCACATGTAAATGATAGATCTGAAGTGGAAATGTCACAGTATATGGTATATTACAGGGATTTTTTAATATATGCCAAAGTATATTGACACAGTGTTCCAGCATCATAACAGAAGGGGCCAAACAATTTGTTTTTCAGTGCTACCTAGACAGGACTTCTAGGGCAGTAGTGAACAATGTGAACATTTTAGTGTGAACTGAAGAGTCTTACTGAGCCCTGGGTGCAGCTATGTGATCTGAACGGTCATACGCTTAGGAGGACTGATGTGGCTTCCGTGCCCCGTTTTTCTGGTAGGATGCGTGTGTGCAGTCAGAGTACGGCATCTACATTTTCCTGTTTGTTGTGAAGTAAGAAGAAAAACTTGGATCAGACCAAATTTAGCAGTTAAATAAAATGTGTTTTGATAAGCTAAGAGAAAATACATGTCGCTTTATGATACCAGAGTTGTGGCAGCCGCTCAAGGATGATGCCAGCATGTGAAAATTATTCTCAAACCAGTGGAGAAATGCCACGGTTTTGTATGTGGAAATTTTCTCAAGAACAACTTTAAAAATAACATGTGCTCCCCCCCCCCTTTTTTTTAATCTAAATTCTTCTGATATTTTACATACTAGAACTTAAGGGGAAAGAAAAGAAAACAATTGTCTTCTAAACAGCTAAGGGAACTATGTTGTAAATTTAACTGTAGTATTTGAGTTATTCATAAGTGCACAGAGCTAAATCAGAGACATTTTTCTTTAGCCTTCGTGGGATTAAAGATGGTTTGAATATAGCAGGAGCTAAATCCTGTTGGCAAACGCGTATCTGACTGGTCAAATAAAGTCAGTATCTGAGAAACAAAATCTCATTGACCACTGCTAGCTTTTTCAAGCTCGTTTAGATTAAATATTTTTGAGTATTGTGATGCTGTTAAGAAGACAGTGTGGCCCTCAAATGGCTTAGTTTTTCGTGAAGAGTATCCTTGTCTTTTTACTGATTGAAAAATGAAAGTGAACCAAGTATTCCTATAATAATGGATTACAGTTTGCATCCTCATATCTCACCCTATCCCTGGTACAGGGGTATCCCCCGCCACACCCCTGGGCTGAGAGCAGGTTCTACACCGCGGTGCTCTCGGTTCACTTCCTTCGTTGTGCTTCCCGTCGGCGCGTTGGACTGCGGTGGGCTCGTGTGCTACAGTCGCCGTGTGCTGTTAGTCGCAGTGGGAAAGAAAAAATACTGGGGAGAAGTAATTTGATGTGGTTGGGTTGTTTAGGGTTGGGGTAATTCCCTTGGCCAAAAGGAAGACTGTATTTTTGCGAAATGGTTTCAGGGCTGCTGTTGTTACAGATCAAGGTTGTCCTCTTCTTTAGTCCTCTGCCCTGTCCCTCCCGCAAGCACACGCACCCCCTCCTCTCTGGCCTGCTGCGAGCCCCGGCCTCTCGCTGTCGTGCTTTGTCCTGCAGGGTGTCAGTGGGTGTCTGTCCTGCCACGTGCAGCGATTGCCACAGACCATCCTGCTGGCTGCCCACCCGCGTTCACTCCAGTACGGCCTTGTGAGGCGGCCGCCGAAGAACCGGTGAAGAAGAGGGACGTGGGCAGGATGAAGCCCTCATTGCCCGTAGACATGAGTTCCTCTTACGGATGTAGCGTGTACCCGTTCCTGGGGAGGATGGGGCAGAACCCCCTGCTGTTGCTGCCTAGTTTTGGTTTGAGAGCCCTGTTACAAAACGCATTTAAGTGATACCTTGGCCTGCTTTCAACATATTTCATCCGTAGTCCAAACCTCTGAAGATAAACTTCCTCCTTAGTTCATCCAGAATTTTAAGAACAAAGGTTGTCTAAACCCTGTTGCCTTCACGACGATGTTTCTTGTTATCTTTTGTAATAAGACAGTGTCTAGAGCCAGGGCTTAGGGCTGTGATCCTTGCACAGACAGGATAGAGGAGATTTGTTCTGCAGAGCTCTTGCACTCTGAATTTTGGTTAGAGACACGGACAGCTGTGGGGGGAGCGGAGTGTAAGGGTGTAGTGAGTCATTTATAAATGGTATAATAAGCTCACAGCACATAAGCTGGCTAATTGTTCTCAAGTGTTTTGTAGGTATTATGGCAAAGGTGGGCTTTGGGGAACAATTTAAGGGCTTTAGTCACTAATATCAAAGCATGTGTGTGTGGTATTTTTGGAACAGCCTCTCAGGTAAACTCCTGATAGCTTTGCTCTGACTATTCACCTTATCTAACATTTCCAAGTCTTTGAAGTGATGCAATCCATCATTGAAAATAGCATTTGATTAAATTTAATAGAAGAAAAGAATTTGCTAGGGTCTAAAACTCTAAAAATGGCAATTTCAGGTTTAAGTGGAAGCTGGAGAGCAAAGATTGTTTTGGGTTTTTTTGGTTTTGTTTGTTTTAGAGGGTTTAAATAGGAGAATTGTATGCTAGTTTTTGAGAATATGGAAAGTTTTAAGAAGTGGTAAGGGGTCTAAATCATGGCATAGAGATTTAACTTGAGATGAAGCAGTTGCTACTTCAGCTATAAGCCTAGAATTGTACTTAAAGTGTAGTGGTTGTTACAGATGCAGATGCATGCTTGCAGCTGTTGTTGCTTTGCAGCTAAGGTTCAGTTATAACATTCCTAACAGCCAGGCTTTTGTTCAGTTGCCTTACTCATCTCAGAGTCTTCATCAGCTCAGATGTTTTCTGTGAGAGGTGAAAATCAGAATCTGGAAGTCTTGGAGAGATGAGGACAGAGAAGAGTTGCAGCCAATTGATGCATTCAAGTTTCATCAGTGTTTTTACAGATGCTTTTAAATGTTGCCTCAGAAGCTTAGTTTTAGTGTCAAATATTTCTGTGTTTGTCTATGTTAATTTATTTTTTTTATTTAAATTACTTTTTTTTTTTTCCTTCTAAATTAATTTGAAGTTGATCTTGGTTTGTATGTGATTATGTTTTTAAATATTTGTAACATTTGAGTCTGTTGTCTTCAGTGAAATTGCATGGGGGTGAATCTTGCTCACTGTGCCAACTGTGGAAGAAATAATTTTGAAATATGTTACCTTATTTGCTCAGCAGTCCGTTTAACATCCTTTGTCATATAGTTAACATGAGGCACAGTGGTCCTTTTCATCACAATCCGTGCTATGAATTGTCAGGCAGCAAACTTTCCAGTGGATCACTTTCATCACTGTACATAGGAAACTAATCCTTTCTTGGCTGTGTATGTATCCAAGTGTGCCTGGTGCTTCAGAAATGGGTATCAAGAGCATTGCACAGATAAACGCCACACCGAGGAGAATACAGAAATCCAATTACATCTTCATAAACATTGGGTATTGTGATATGATTAAATGAACTAATTTTGAAGTTCCATCTCAGACTGTAAATTTTTATTACTTTGTTAGGGTTATCTGCCTCACTTTCAGATTAAGCTGCTAGAAGGTTCAATTTGCAGGATGCAATTCAGTGGCATTTTTTTTACTACCAAGGGATGGATTTCTATACACACAACTTCACAGAAAGCGATAATTTGCTTCATCTAGAACTCTTGATTTATTTATTTTTTTTCTAAAGTTTACTGGAAGTTTAGGTTGTGATCATATTGTAATTTTCCAAATAGACTGGGAGAAAATCTGTGAATTAATACTTTTTTTCTTTTGTAATCTCTAATCAAGTGACAGTATTTTTTAACTCGGCAGATATTTTTGGTGTGAAACAAAAGTTTTGCTGTTATCTACTGTTCGGCTTTTTTGATTATATGTTACTGCTTTCTTCAGTCTTTATTTGCTGTTAGGGGTTCTGTACTTGTTTAATCTTCTTACCACTCAGAAATTTGATTCTATTTGTTGGAATTCTGACATGGCCCAGTGTCAGAGTGCCAAGAGGCAGTCTTGAATATTTGTCACAAATCTTTGACAGGAAGAAAGTGGTACAAAGTCCCCAGGCGCAGAGAACCGCAGGAGTAGCACGAGGTTGTGCAAAGTCATTCTTACTGCAGACTTGAATGAGAATTTCCACATTTCAGTCTCACACTCCATCACTGTGGCATTGTTCCTTTCCTGCTCATATAAAGGTTTTACCTGTAAGAAGTCCTAAATTTCAGCGTTTTGTCTGGTCTGAAAAAGATACTTCCATGGCCTATACGTGATGAGATGGAAGCATTCAGTATGCAAATTTAATAAGCAGACTTTTCAATATTTATTGTGGTATTACCAAGTGCTGTGATGATAACAGATGTACTGAACCTTTATGAGTCGGGAAGTCTGAAAAATTTCAGGCTGATCTTACTCCGCATCAGGGTTTGAAGTTGGCAGAACTTCTGATTCAGATCAGTGCTTTAAAAACCATGTTTCTTAGGAACTAATATACGAGCATAGAAGGCTACCTTTAGACGTTACAAACAAAAGGCCCATATTGAATATTTCCAGTTACTTGATTCATCTATTGTAGGTAATTTTAATTTAATAAGAGGAGGTGGAGGTTTTGGAGGGCTTTTGTTGTTTAACACATTTTTGGTTCTGGGTACTTGAAGCACCTGCTAAACGTTTGCCTGACCTGGCCCTTATTCTGTTGTTCAGTTTAGAAACCTTTTTTCTTCCCTTCTATGACTTTGCAGAATATGACACATTCCGTGGTGTCGTTCAGGGTAAACTTGGGTTTTATCTCACTACCAATGCTATCTGCAGTTGGCCAAGCACAAGTTTGTAACTCATGTTCTTCTGAGATCCAAGAGGTATAAAGGCCTCTGTGGTTTTTATACTTAAATGAAGGAAGAGTAGCTGTCTTCTCTTACACAACTTAAAGGAATGGACACTTTGCAAATGCTGGAGTTGTTCTGTTGAGGCTTCCAGGAGGGGAGAGCCTGGGGACGCTGTGCTGCTTCTCTGCTGTCGCAGCCGGCCCGTTTCCTTCCGTCTCCTTTTTG